CTAAGTTAATTTTACCAAATATGATGCTAATCACAACAACTAGAGAAATAACATAATAACTTTATAAGTTTGATGTATAAGGATGAGACTTCTATTTCAGAACACTTGGGTGAATTTCAAGGGCTCCTTGATCAGATGTCAGGAATGGGTTTTAAATTTGAGGATGAACTCTTGGGACTATTTCTATTGCTATCTTTACCAGAGTCTTGGGAGACGTTTCAGGTTTCTATCACAAGTTCTACTCCTAGAGGTGTTTTTATTTGGAATCGACTAAGGTGGTATTCTTAATGAGGAGATGAGAAGGAAGGCACAAAGTTCTTCATCTCAACTTGAGGTACTTGTCACTGAAAATAGGGGAGAAGTCATAAAAATGAACCGAATGGTAGAGAGAATATCAGAGGCAAGTCTAAGCCACTATACAATAATTTGGAGTGTCATTATTATCACAAAACATGACACATACAAAAGTATTGTTATCAGTGGAAAAAGGATAACAAATGTAAGAAAGGTAAGTCTAAATAAAGAGATCATGAATATCATGATGATGATCGTGTTACTACTGCTACTTGTAAAGATCTTGTTATTCTATGTGATTATGAGTCTATTAATCTCTTATCAGACGAGAGCATGTGGGTAGTTGACAGTGGTGCCACATTGCATGTTACACAAAGGGAGGATTTCTTCACATCTTACACTTATCGTAACTTTTGAGTGTTAAAGATGGGCAATGGTGGTGTATCTAAGCTAGTTGGTGTTAGTGATGTTTGCTTATAAACCAACATGGGAATGAAATTATTACTTACAGGTGCCAAACATGCTCTGGATGTCTGCTTTAATTTTATCTCTGTACATATGTGAAGCAACTAGAGAAAAATAAACAATGAAGTCGCCATCCAATATTTATTTATCCCATAGAAGGGAAAGAAAATCATCGAAGAAAACCTGAGAAGGGAGAAATCAAGGTTTTTCAATCAAGAGAACGAGTATGGGAGTTGATTACGCAAGGGGAAGGTATTAGCACCCTCACATATGTGGTACTCCACAGGATCCACTCTTGTTGTCTAATCAAAAAGGTGTGTCAAATCTAAAGATAATAAGCTAAGGGAAAATGCACGAATGCAAAATATATACAAAAATAAAGGTTTTTATTAGTTGTGCTTGCCGCGGTTGCAAACCTTTGTGCCTACGTATCACCTTTCATGCAATAGTGGATCAGGGAACTCATAGTTCACCTAAAAAAGTGTTTTGGTTTATTTTATGTTTTTTAGGCGGATAATATCACATTCGCACTCTAGCAGTTGACATATTGCATCCCGACCTTTGGAGACTTATGCATCGTATTGTGCAGAATAGAAATAACACATCTTTTTTATGAAAAGATTTTAAAAAGAAAAGCCTGAAGGCGGCTCGAAGGCAAAAGGTTTGAATTGGTTTTCATTTTTTACCTTGAAAAGGATTTGGTGATTTGAACCATATTAAAAATTATGATCGAAAAGAAATATAAGGTTCAGTCTATACCACCTCATACTCCTCCAATGGCTTAAGGCTCGTGACACATGGTTCACATTGTTATTGTTAAGTGGTTTTGAGTTTTTGATAAAGAAAAAGAAGTTTTTTTAGAGATGCAATAGGGGAAAGAAAAAGTCTAAGGGAGATTAAATTCCCAATGTTGTCATGTACAATGGTCCTAAAGTCAGGATTAACAAAGGGAAAGCTACCTAATATTAGCATGCATGGTTTACAAACCTAATGTCTATCTCAATTAAAATCTAAAATAATATTGAATAGAGAAATCCTACAGAAACATGACATAAAGTACAAACAAGTGTCTCAAGGAGATCGATCATGAATTAGGTAAACAAATATAAACAATAATCAATCGCTTGTATCATCACAACCATAACAAAAGTGTACACGCAAAAGAAATTGCCTACTTCAAGGTAGGTCTTTAAACAAATATGCTATGCCACAAACATGGTTTCACAATGCCTACAAGGGTAGGTCTTTAGTCATGCATCTCTATCCTACTTCTCATTGCAAAGTCAATTGAAAATGATGCAAGAATGAGATAGTAAAGATATCTCAAGTGAAACCAAATGGAGGAGGCCCGTTGCCTCTTTATAGTGCGCAAAAAGAAACCCATGAAGTATGTTAGAAGCTTCACCAATGATCAACCTAATTAATCCTCACACATTTAACACCCCAAATCAACCTCCCAGTACGAAATCATGGCAAGAAAGTAACAACCAAAATGATTATTAACATGAAAAGAATAATTAGAAAATTTTCATTAAATTCTAAAGAAAAGTTTTTAAAACAAATCTAAAATATTCTAACAGTTTTTTTGTCGTTTTGTTATTGTCAATAATTAAAAGAAGAAATTAAAACTAGGATAAAAACTAACTCATAAAAAATCGAGGTAAAATGCCAAGGAACGCCATCTTTTATTATTTACAAAAATAAAAATCCACAATTTCCCTCGGGTTTTAAAATAATCGAGGGGAAAGATAAGTCAGGACACACTTTGAATCCATGCTATTGTAGTTTATGTTTTTATTTGTTTATAAGTGTAAACTAAATGATCTAACCCTTCGATTTTCGATATAACCGAGGGATAAAATAATCAAATTTTACTATTACTATAAAAGCACTTGTTAAAAATTTACCCTAATCCTTACTTATATGAAGCCGCCCTAAACTCGCATGCATCATTCTTTGAAATAGATTGCAAGATAGAAAAAATCTCCAATGCTCTTCTATCTAGAACAAAATATTTTTCTGCCCTTGCAATCTATCTCACATAATGGTGTTGATGTTGTTGTTGTATTTTTGGAATAAACTTTCTATGATGGATTGCAGGTGCAGAAAAAATATTTTCCAATGTTTGGAACAAATAACTTATTAGAAGATGGATGCATTACCAAAGATCAGTTGTAAACAATTTATTCCCAATAACTTCTTATAACAAATATTTTTTCATCTCCAAGAATCTGGATTTGTTGTAATATTGTATTTTAAAATTCTTTGTAAATTATGTAAATTAAAAATTAATAATAATAAAAATATTTCACCTCGAGTTTTCTAAATACCAAGGGGATATTTTAGCATTAATTATGAAGATATTTGTCACTGATCTTAATCAAATTCTTGTCATCCATTTTCATCACAATCAACGCTCAAGACACTTCCATTAGTGATCTGTGTTCAACTTATGAGGTCTATCAAACATAGACAACTTTCTACAAAGTATAATTATAATGAGTATGTGATCTTGACTGATGAGGGTGAACCTGAGTGTTTTCAAGAGGTCATGAAAAGTGATGAAAATTAAAATTGGTTGGATGCAATGCATGATGAGATAAAATCATTGCATGATAATCACACTTATGATTTAGGAAAGTTGCCTAAAGGTAAAAGGGACTTGGAAAACAAGTGGATTTATAGAGTTAAATATGAGAGAAATTCTAAGTCTCTAAGATATAAAGCCAGATTAGTGGTGAAAGGTTTCCGTCAAAGAAAAGGTGTTGATTTTAATGAAATTTTCTCACCAGTTGTAAACATATCATCAATCAGAACCATGTTGAGTTTAGCTGCTACTCTTGACTTAGAGGATGAGAAAATGGACGTGAAAAAGGAAGGGTGAGAAAGGGTCACCCTACCTCAAACCTCTACCAACCTCAAAGTCCACTATTAGACTAGCATTGACCAAGATAGACATGTGGTAGTGAAGATGCAAGCCTCAATCCACTTCATCCAAAAACTTCCAAACCCCATTCTCTTCATCATTAACCTGAGAAAATCCAAAATTACCCTATCATAAGCCTTTTCAAAATCCACCTTGAACATCAAGAAATACTTCTTTGATCTTGTTGCCATGTCCATTGTTTCATTTGCCACCAAAACACTATCCAAAAGCTGTCACCTAGAACAAAGGCTGATTGACAAGCTGATATCAAAGATCCAAGAACTCTCTTAAGTCTAGAAGCAGGCAATTTTGATAAAATTTAGCATAGACTTCCTACTAGGCTTATGGGCTTGTACTCTTCCAAACTTTGGGGATTATAAGTCTTGGGGACCAGAGTTAGAAATGAAGAGGTAACGACTTTGGATAAGGTAGCCTTAACATGGAACTCCTTTACAAACCTCAATATGCCATCCTTCAGAACCTGCCAACAATTTTTTTTATGAAAACAAGGTTGTATCCATCCGGACCAGGGTTCTTTGATCCTTCACAACTCCAAACATCCTCCTTGATCTCCAGGTAAGAAAAGGGCTTCTAAAAAGTGCACTTCACTCTAAGATAATTGCTTGAAAACTAAACCATCCAACTCAGGTCTATTTGAGTCAAGTTCAGAAAATTTCTTCATGAAATGATTCCTAATTTCTTCTTTAACCTCTCTAACTGATTCTACTAACCCTCTTTCAGTTTGAATAGATCCAATATACTTTTTTTCTTTGCCCGCCCTTCTAATTGCTATAATAAAATGTTCTTCTAATACAAATTCATTTTAAATTCTACAATGCTATAGATAACTACTCTAAACAATGATATAGTTGGTGTAACGTCATTGAGGTAACATCAATATCATTTGATCGGATAATCCATAAATTTACTTTCCTATCATTTTGGGACATTCTGCATTGAGTTAGATTGCAACTAGCCGAGCTTTCAGTCTAAGCCGAAATATTAATCAATATAGCCTAAGATTACTTAAATACGACGATAAAATCTCTTTCAATTTAATTAGATATTTGAGTTTGAATTTAATTCTAAAAAAATAAGATTAATCACTATAATTATGCACATGTAGATATTAAAATCAACTCAATCAAAAAGAAAATAAAACTTTAAATAAAACTTTTTTAAAAATAGACAAAAGAATATAATATAATAACAATATATGTCGACAATCAATCGAAAATTTTCCTATATAAACTTACCCCATTCTTCTCTTTTGTTATCATAAAAAGTGGATATTATCAAAATCTAAATTGTTAATATGCCATCTAAACAACCCCAAGTGTTACTCCTACTTGGAATGGTGATATTAATCACCACTTCAGAATTAGGTGCCGGACAGCAAGAAGAGGATCCACCAACCCAAGATCCACAGCCCGTAAAGGATCCACCAGTCCCCACAGATCCCGTAGAGAAGCCACCTAAAATTGGTCAAACACCACATCCAAAACCTCTTCATAAGAAACTACTATCACTCTCTTACAACTCACTCTTTCATAAATCTTGTAATAAGCCTCCTTCATCAGTGTTCCAGACTCAAGATGACGAAGACAAGTCTTCTCCGGTGAAGGAACTACAGATGGATAAAACCACTAGCCCCACCATTAAAAAGTTATACATCATCCCAACAATATTATAAGTAATTTTTATTTTTTTTATATATTTAATTATTAATATATTGGGTCAATATATAGACTAAATACATTGATAATTAAATATACTAAAAAAAAGTTAAAAATTATTTATAATAATGTCTAGAGAGTATACCACCGAACAAAGTAAGTGTTGGTTCATAAATCTAATTTGCACAAAATGTGTTTCTTTTTTTAGTTGTTTTATGCAAAGTTGTGTGTTTTGCTTTGTTCAATTTGTCACCTCAGTTTCCCTCTATTACATATTTAATAAATGATTTGAAGGTAAGTATTACAAATTTAGAGACATGCATATTTCAATCACCATAATCTTATTACATTTGTAAGCATTTATCATTTTATATTATTATTTTAGTTGAATTTATAGGGTTGAAGTTTAGAGATTGTACCAACTATGACTGGTGTAAGAGTTCTTTGATTTACTCCAATTTGATTACATGAATTTCAGTTAAAAAGAAAATTTTAAAAATTTTAAGAAAAAAAGCTTCATATATAGCTGCAAGAAAAATATGTAATAAAGGTCTACATACCGTGATTATAAGAAATAAAACATAAATCAACAAATTTATTGATCGAAGGGTTTTAATTCACTGTATTCAGGAAATCCATTGCTCAATAATCTAAGAACTTATTTGTTTAAGTTTTTTTAAAAAAAAATATTTTTTATAATATTATATATTTTGTGAATTTTTTGTTGTTACAATAACCAGATATTAAAAAAAAATTTCGCAAATAATCATGTTTAGGAAAAAATTACGCAAATAACCATGTTTCAGATGACTCCCCAAAGGAGGAGCCATCTCACTTGGTGCCTATACCTGTTATTTAAGGAGAGGCGCCATCTCACTTGGCGCCTAGGTGCTTAGGGCTTGCCCTAAGCCAAGTGAGATGACGCCTAAGTGCATTTCTAGGGAAATTTTCGCGTGTTTTTTTTTCAATCCGGTGCGTTGCATATTCGATATAGGATCAACAAAATTGACTTTTTATTTACAAAAGATGATTACACACATAAGTATTACATCAAAAAATACATATTAAAAAAAAACAGATTAATCAGTGGTCTCCCGGAACTCGGTAATGACCCCCGGTTCCGCATCCCCGTCCTCGCCTTTTCCGTGCTGGGTGTCGTCGCGTTTCCTGCTGTGGCAGGGTCGATGGCCCAGCGAAGCCAATGCGTTTCGGATCCATGAAATCAGTCAGATCTCCATATCTAGAAGATCCGCTTTGGTACAGTCGGTTACCCATACCCTCAAAGTTTGATCGTGTTGGCGGTGGATGGGGTTCCATGGTGGGTCTGTAGCATTGATCGTCTGAGTACTGGGGGTAGAAAGGAAATGGATCCCGGGGTGTTTTGTATTGAGGATGTTGGGTGGTTTGGTGATATTGTGGTTGATGGTAAGTTGGGTCGGTTGGTTCATAATCTTCCGACATTCCTAGATCAGGGCTAAGGTTGGATGTTGACGGGCCCATATTGGGATATACAGAAGACTGAAATTGTGTGTGGGGTATGCGGGTGTGTTGGTATTGTGATTGGAATTGCGGTTGGGTGTGAGCCATATGGGGGTATTGGTACTGAGGTGGTGATTGTGGTTGGTTGTGGGGCATTTGGGTGTAATTGTGTTGTGGTGGCGACTGTGGTTGGGTGTTTGTGGTTCGGTTTCGTTTGGGGGTTGGTGGGAGGTTGATGTGTGTTGGGTTTGTTGTTGGGGAAACGAGGGTTGTGCCCATTGTGTTCGTGGATCAACCAAATACCTTGGATGAGACACGTGCATTTCAGGGTTACTAACCGACCTGTACCAAGATAAATACTGATCCGTGTGTTGCATATTGCCATGATTGAGGAAAACTGGGAATTGCAAGACATGTCGGTGACGCCTCTGCCACATCTTACACCATTCTGGAGCAAAGTCTTTCCAGTTGGTAAGACCCCACTGGGCGTCGACCCTTTTGAGATGCCACGGGGACAAACAAGTCGGATCACTGGGTATCTCTTGATGCATTCTGAACTGCATCTTCACACGGTCGCTGTGGTGCATCTCCACAACATTGAACCGTATGATTGCAGTCTTGGCGCTCCAAATTGCTGCATCCTCGGGGTTTGGTTCATGGCCCAAACCCAAATATGGTCTCCAGACAAACTACGCATATAATTAAATCAGGTTAATGAAAGCGTAATACATAAATAATTTAAAAGTTGAAAGGTACGACGTACATCATCCGGGCCTAGGTGATCCAATAGATTGTGGTATAGTGCGACATTGAATCTTGGATTCTTTCCGTAATCCATACCCCTCACGCAATACCTAAAGGAAATGAAAAATATTTTATTTTTAACATATATTTGGTGAAGAGATGAACAGTAATAAATGATATAACTAGATGACTTACTTTATTGCGTACGGGAAAACGAATGTGTTGTTGTTGACGGGGTTTAGGGACTCCATCCTCCACCAACCCCAGGCTTGAAGTAAAAAAGCGCAGCCATAAAATGTACATTTTTCCTTGATTGCATTTTTGCACAAGGAACTGTATAGGTGGGGTAAAACAGCAGAATCCCAACTATACTTTCTAGTTTTTTCGAAATCTCTAAGTAAATTTAAATACATAAAATTTACACTATTTCCCGTACTTTCAGGAAATAAAAAGGTTCCAAATAGTATCATTAGATAAGTTCTAGCTTTTATTACCCTGTCTTGCTCGGAGGAATTTTTGTTTAATTCCAAAGTTGCATAATGATTTTTAAGCTCAGTTAGTAGTATACCCTGACCTCTCGCACCACCACCTTCAACCATATCCCTGCCCAACAATTCTTCACACAGAGAATTGGGTTGTTGAACCAACCGTTAACGGCCTTACTGTCGACAAGGAGACCTAGTAACATGTACACATCCTCTAGCGTGATGGTACATTCACCTATTGGTAGGTGAAATGTATGGGTCTCTGGTCTCCACCTTTCTAACATGGCAAGTATGAACTTTGAATCTATTGTGCAGTTGGAGATCTTTATAACATGTCCGAAACCTGCGTATTCCAGATAAGGTACGATAAAATGGATCGGGAGCCAGGTAGTTGTGAGACCGGATTCTGAATCTTTTGGTATCCTGAGTTTCTAATGTAAAGGAGTAAGATTAAGTAAGATGAGCAAAGCAATACCAGAAGTATAAAAAATGTATAACTATAAAAGAAACTTACAAATGCTGCAATATTGTCCCTTGTGCCTCTGTGAGAATCCCCCATTATGAGAAGATCCATTGTTGAAAATGCCTGAGATTATGAAAGACTTAGAAATTGTAAGAGATTATGAAAGACTTTGTAACAGAGAGTGAGATGATTGTGGGTGCGAGAGAAGTATGTTATGCTCTGTATTTATAGGCAAAAAAAATTCATAGAGTAAGTTAGGTGGTAGCTGGTGCATGCATGCATGATAAGTGTCAATCTTGCAGTGAAGGCGCAGGCTAGGTGGCAGCCTTGGAGAAGGCATCTCTGCATGCATGTAACACGATTGGACATTAAGGGAGGCGCCATTGGACTTGGCGAAAGAGTACAAAAATGAAAGGTGTCGCCATCCCCATTGGCGAATAAGAGGTGGTACGGGTTACAGAGTAGGCGCAGGCTAGGTGATAGCCTTGGAGAATCCATTCCTGAATGCATGTAACACTATTGGAGGTGATGGGAGGAGACTTACATGTTACAGTATAGGTGCAGAGTAGGCGCATGCTAGGTGGCAGCCTTGAAGAAGGCATCTCTGCATGCATGTAACACGATTGGACATTAAGGGAGGCGCCAATGGACTTGGTGAAAGAGTACAAAATTGAAAGGTGTCGCCATCCACAATCGTGAATAAGAGGTGGCACGAGTTGTATAGTAGGCGTAGGCTAGGTGACAACCTTGGAGAAGCCATGCCTTAATGCATGTAACAATATTGGAGGTGATGGGATGAGACTTACACGTTACATTATAGGTTCAGAGTAGGCGCAGGCTAGGTGGTAGCCTTGGAGAAGGCATCTCTGCATGCATGTAACACGACTGGACATTAAGAGAGGCCCCATTGGACTTGGCGAAAGAATACAAAAATGAAATGTGTCTCCATCTGTGATACGGTGGGAGAACTGACTTAAGGTTTTGCGTTTTATCGCAAATGTTGCGGTTTAGCAAGAGTCGCCACCGACTTTTCTTTTATTCAAAAGGAAAGGTGAAAAAGCACAGAAAAGACCTTTGAGATGTTTTCTTAAGTTTGAGGGGTAGATTATGAAAAAGGAAGGTGCTAGCACCCTTTTAATCCATGGTTTTCCATGGGCTCTTAGTTACTTGCTTAGATCACTTGCTTTGGTTTGTTTGAAATGGTGTTTGGTGTGATTTTGAAAGTATTTTGTAAAAGAGGCCATTCGTTTAGGCAATCTTTGTAATGATTCTCGTTCGTAAGAATGTATACAAAGATGTTTGTCTTTTTTTGAAAATGTTTTCAATGTTTATAAGATGTTTTTGAAATGTGTGTGTGTTTGTTTTTGAAAATAGCAAGGATTGTTTGAAATGGAGTAAGTAACTTAGAAGCTATCTACCTACTCAAATGTCTTTCCTATGTATTTTCTATTCCTTTGACATTGTTGGCTTACCATTGATTTGGTAAGCAACCCTATCTTTGGATGTAAACGGGACGAGCGTGGATCATCGTATAACCATGATAGCAATGTTGCAAAGTATCTTAGCGTTTTTGAGGGACCAAGATCATTTTGTTTAGGCAACTTTGGAATAACGTCATCGAGGGGCTATGATCTTATATTTGTTTTGTTTTGCCAAGATACTTCGCATGCGTAACATGGCCATTTTATTTTAGGCAACCAAGTGGAGAAACCCTAAGGATGCTTGTGTGCAAGTGTATTATTTGCAAGCGTTTTGTCTTTGATTAGGATTGTCTATTTTGTTGTTTTTATCTTTCCATACATTTCCTATTTTACTAGCAAGCATACAGAAATAATAAAATGCAAAA